AGTCGCCTTAGATGGTTTGGTCACATTAAACGGAGGCCTTCCGATGACCCGATTAGGAAAGTTGAGGTATTAGATTCGATTTATGTTAAGAAAGGTAGAGGTAGACCTAAAAAGACTTGGTTAGAAAATATTAGAAATGATATTTCTTTACTAGATTCAAATGAGAATTTGACTTTTAACATGACAATGGCGAAAAAGGATTCATGTAGCCGACCCCACATAGTGGGACAAAGGGTTGATGTTGTTGTTGTTGTTGAGATGAATATTAACTGTTGAAAAGAAGAAATGTATTGTTTGAGGCTTTGATACAGGGAAACGATGAAGTTGAAATCCACTAGAGAGAGATCTGCAATATATGTTTCATGTTGCCATTTACAAATATTGGTTTTTTTTTTAATACAAATATTGGTTGTTAGATATACGCGACAGATACAAAGTCTGCTGTTAAATAAATAGCTAATTGTTTATGTTATTTTCTTTGTTAATTCCGACTCAGATATAATGAAATATATAGGACCTAAGGGCTTGAAAGGTCTATCCATCAAAAAGGATTTACTGGATGGATGAGATTGATTTTCAGTCAACTAATTGTTGCTTTAACTAGAAGTATAAACATTTTTAACATCTTAGCCACTTTTTTAAATTATTTATTAGACATCCATTTTTAATGGTTCTTTGCCACTTCCAAAAATTCAGACTTAGATGCAGAGATATATTTTGTACACTGCTCTAAGAATAAGGCAAACATGGTCAGTTAATTAAACTGTCATTTAGTTTTCATGGGCCGCTAGATGATGATAAGTAATTAGTTCCTTTAGTTACGTTACTTTGATGGTTCATTTAAAATGATATGACTGATTAGAAGAGGTTTGCTGTTGAGAAGCTTTTATTTGCTTCTGTTTTAGCATAGATTAGTTTATTGCACATTGATCTACTATTTTGTGTGAAGTTCCGCATTTGAAAGAGGATTGTATGCTTTGCTCCTGTGCTTACTGATACTGATGCTAAAATTTAGGAGAACGAGTGGTCCCATAAGGCGAGCAAAAGGAGGTTGGACACCAAATGAAGTGAGTTTACTTGGCTGTTCAATGATGTTTTCATACTTATTTGTATATCAGTTTCAAGATGTTGCCTGCATCATAGTGACTTTAGAGGAGGTTATTCAGCTCAGTGATTACATTTATTGTCCTCTCAAACTGCTCAAAACTACTAAATTTTTTTTTTTTTGAAGATGAAATGGCTTGCACTTGTTTCCTAAAAATTTGGACATTTTTCTTAGAAATTCTAGTATCAGGATTTTTTAACCCCTTGAAGAAATTTTCCTTCACCAGAAGCAATTTTCTTTTCTAAATATTCTATCAGATAAATATTGAATTGTATTTTTACCTGCACGTACACTTCTTCTTCAAGGGCTGGAAATGACATGTAATAAAACTAATTTGTTTGTGCTTAATATGTGGTCTAGCAAAATGCTTTCGGTCATAATGTTTTGTTATCAGAAATTTACTAATGTTTTCAATAACTTGCCACAGGATGAGACTCTTAAACATGCCGTTGAATTACACAAAGCAAGGAATTGGAAGAAAATAGGTTTTTTCCAACCTTCTTTCTTTTCATTGCCTATTCAAATCCTCATTAGCTTTTATTTATCCTTTACTCCATGTACTTCAGTTTATTATAATTTATCATTTAAGCATGAATATCTATTTGCTGCACCTACATTTTAGGCAATAGCTATAGCTATAAGAGTAGGAATAGAGTTACCTAGATGTTGTGGATGGGCCATGTGGAACTTATTTTATGCAGATGGTTTGTAAAGCAAAACAACTTGAATGCTGATCTAGAGACTAGAGACCATGTTTTGTGTTTGATGAACTAAGAGAATGATGATAAGCTTTGATTTATTTTGGAGGGAGAGGCTCCAAATAAAAAAATATGATCTAAAATCCTGTTCAATTGGTAGACCATTTTAAAATTAGTATGCAGAGAAAAGGATGATCATAGATTTGGCACCATGCGGTTCAATCAATGAGCCGAATTAATTTCCTATTCAGAACTTTTGGAGGCAAAAAAGATTTCTTTATATAGCCTGTAAAGAATCATTAATGAACTCTGTCGTGTTTACATGACCAGCCATTGGGATGGAGGTTTAGATCAGCCATGGGGATGGAGGTTTACTTTTTTCTCAGAACATGTGATGCAGGATTTTTAGAGTCCAGAATTCACAATAAAAATCTAAATTTAATGCTATGATAGGTGAAATGACTTTAGTGACCTTAGCACCCTAAATGAAAATAAAGATTTTTATTTTTATCGACATATTAGTAAAATTGAAATTAAAGAGGCTTTAAAGAAAATGAAGTGTGGAAAAGCTGTTGGACCTATGATATTCCATTAGAAGTGTGGAAAAGCTTAGGAGATGAAGGAATTTATTGGCTTACTAAACTTTTTAATATTATTTTGAAGACTAAAAATATGCTAGATGAGTGGAGAATGGGTGTGTTGATTCCTTATTTTAAGAATAAAGGTGATGCACAAGATTATGCGAATTATAGAGGAATTAAGTTGATGTGTCCTATTTTAAAACTATAGGAGAGAGTTATGGAGCATAGGTTGCGGCGTGATACTAACATTTCTCAAAATCAATTTGTATTCATGTCGAGTAGGTCTACTATGGAAGCTATAGATTTATTGAGAGGTTTGATGGAGAAGTGTAGAGAGAATAAGTAGGATCTACATATGATATTTATTGATTTAGAGAAAGCATATGATAAAGTTCTAAGAGAAGTGTCTTGGAGAGTTCTAGAAAAGAAATGGGTTAATAATGCTTATATTCAAGCCATTAAGGATATGATTGCAAGAGCTGTAACTTGTATTCAGACACAAGGTGGTTTGAGGAAGTATTTTCCTATTTCAGTTGGATTACATCAAGGATCAGCCTTAAGCCCATATCTTTTTGCTTTTAGAGAGGGGGTTGAAGGTAAACTTGAATTATGGAGGTCAACCTTAGAGTCTAACGGCTTTCTTTTAAGTAGATATAAAACTAAATATATGCAGTGTAATTTTAGTAACAATAGATTTAGTGGGGGGATTGTGATTTTGGGCACCCAAGTCATTAATAAGAGTACTCATTTTATATATCTTGGGTCTATTGTTCATAGTGATGGTGATATAGATGGGCATCTTATTAGTAGATTTCAAGTTGGATGGTTGAAGTGGAGGAATGCATCGGGCTTGTTGTGTGATAAAAAAGTCGCTCTCAAACTTGAGGGAAAATTCTATAAGATGGTAGTGAGACCTGCACTGTTTTATGGTGCAGAATGCTGGCCATTAAAAGATAAGCATAATATTAAATTAAGTGTTACAGAGATGAATATGCTCAGGTAGATGAGTGGCTTTACTCTTAAAGACAGGATACAAAATGAGCATATACATGTAAAGGTTGGAGTAGCTCCAATGGAAGATAAGATTAGATAGAGTTGCCTTAGATGGTTTGGTCACATAAAACGGCGACCTTCCGATGACCCATTTAGGAAAGTAGATGTATTAGATTTTTCTTATGTTAAGAAAGGTAGAGGTAGACCTAAAAAGACTTGGTTAGAAAATGTTAGAAATGACATTTCTTTTTAAGATTTAGATGGGAATTTGACTCTTAACATAACACAATGGTGAAAAAGGATTCAGGTAACTGTCCCCATAGAATAGGATAAAGGCTTGTTGTTGTTGTTGATAGGTGAGATGAAATTCAACATGCAAATTTCCCTAGAAAGCAAGCCATGTAATCCGCAATTTCTACTATTGAGGAATGTAGGGTATAAATGTTTTGATCGCTTAATAACAACTAAATATCATAAAATTGATTATGATTTCATGAATAGAAAAGAATCAAGAAAGATTATTGATCTTAATTAGGCCAAGTATAATTTCAAGACAAACCTCAAAATATTGGAGGAAGATACATAAAATAAGACTGAAGATGAGAAAAAGCAACGAATCATGATGCTTCACGTTTGAGTAAAAGGATTGCCTTTCCTGATAGAGTTTCAGGTCTCAAGCAGTTGAGACCCGAAAGGAATCTTTTTTCTGTGGTGCAAGCAATAGAGGGTTTTACATGTAGAGGCAAATCTTTTTCCTGTGAAAATATGATGCGGAGTTCGACCAAACGCATAAATGAATGCAGAGCATTCATCAAGGGAGTGGCCACCCAAGAGCCGGAGAAGTAGAATGTAGTAATTGTGGTGGGGGAAATTGTAGTTGCATGTGTGTTTCTAGAAGATACTTGAAACAAAAGTAATTTTCTTTTAGTTTTTGAGGAGGAGGATACCAACTGCATTATGAGGAGAGAGAAGAGGTTGGGGCAGGTGGTTGGGCTTGAAAGGTGAACTTAGGCTGATTTAGCTCTTGTGATAAATGCATGACATGTAACAGCCTGCATAGTTTTTAAAGCCCTCGCCATATACATGTCGGAAAACAAAATGCATGTCAAAGACCTTGAGATAAATGAAATAGAAGCTCTAGTGATTACGATGTTTATGCCGACATTAGTACACTACATCATACGTTGCGGTAGGCCTTTATGAATAAAATATTTTACATATTTATAAAGTTGAACTGCTACATGCAGTATTTGCTATATCATCTTAACTCAGAAAAGGAGAATTATTTTTTACTAGGAACAAAGATAGGTCATCTATCAAACAAATTTTGGAAAACCTATGTTCGAAAAGGAAAATTATCAGGAAATTGTTTCGGTGATAAATGCTATATTTCAACAATATTCACTGAATTCCTAAACAGTTTTTGGCTTGAAAGTTGCATTTCTAATATTCTATGCGTAACATAGAATAGTTGGCCATGATTTTAACTGGTCTAAGATTTAATTATGCACTTTTTTAGAATATGCAAGCTTAAAAAGGATAAAACTGTCATATGAAATTCTCTACATGACACTACTTCTTTGATTACATTGCGAATGCTTATTTTCAATGCTGGATTTCTTATTTAAAAAGAAAAAGGCTAGATGATTTTTTCGTAAAGGCCAAATATCTTCTAAAGATGGTCAAAGCCAGTGTTTGTGTATATGTTTCCTTTTTTTTGGTGTTGCAACCCTATATTTTAAGGACAAATAGTACAATGATATTTTACAAGCTAAATTCTCTATTTATGGATGCAATTTCTGATTACAAGATTATAATTACTAACCTTTATCTTTTATAACTTGTATCCTGTGCCATGCGTTTTAGGATTACAATTTGGTTTCTTGTTTCTTTTTCAGCTGAATCTGTTCCGGGTAGGACTGAAGTGCAATGCCTTCATCGTTGGCAAAAGGTTCTTAATCCGGAACTTATCAAAGGTCCATGGACTCCAGAGGTCTATCTTTAGATCATTATTCAATTTAGTGATTGTTCAAGTAGTAGTAATTCATAATATGTTTCTGGTCTAATTTTTCTGTTTTTATTCAGGAAGATAACATCATCATTGAACTTGTTGCTAAGTATGGGCCTACAAAATGGTCTGTAATTGCAGGATCTCTTCCTGGGAGAATTGGAAAACAATGCAGAGAGAGGTACTATTTTGATGTTTCAAACTTTAAATGAGATGCTTGACAAAAAATAACCAGGCGCTTGATTTTATTATGTATTAATTTATATCGAACTCCTACCTTTTTACCCCTTTTGCTTATCGTATATGTTGATCTATGTGGAAGGGAAACAATTTAAGTTATGTTGGGAAGAATATTCAGTAATATTAGTGTTACGTGCTAGAAAATTTGTCTCGGTATAATTAGAATTTAACATCTTAGCATTGTATAAAAATCTGACAAGTACAGAAAAAGTTGTTGGAGACTATAATTTTCTTACATAGAAAATCTGGAGGAGAAAAACCACGGAGCCTTATCTAGTTGCAATAATTAGGGGTGTCAAAACGGATTGATGGGTTGCATTTGAATCAAACCCGAAAGTTTTCAATGAATTAAGTTTTGAGATTTGCATATGAAGTTGGAGCATTATTCATATTTAATTTTTGTTTTCATGGTTGTTTAGTTGATGTTAGTATCCTTTTAACCAAGACTACTTTTAATCGTGAAATTTATGCTCTACATCTTTGATGTTTTCTGACAATTTGTTACGCTTTTGGCAAAATTCTTGGATGATTATTGTTACAATTGTGAAAACAATGCCAAATAAACTCACAGCCTAGCTGATTATTCAATTATTCATTTCTCTCCACTAGAAATAGCATGAATTTGTGAGGTTTTATCAGTATTTTCTTCAAGGGTTAGGGGCGGGGTAAGTATACCAATCTCCTTTAGAAAATGTTCATCACGAACTGTTTGCTAATGTTTCCATGAAAAGTGAAATCTGTCTTTTGCACACCATTTTCTTTCTTGATTCAACTTACTGATGATTTAATATTTTAAAGGTGGCATAATCATTTAAACCCAGAGATAAGGAAAGATGCTTGGACTTCTGAGGAGGAGATGGAGCTTATGAAAGCCCACCTTCAATATGGGAATAAGTGGGCCGAAATTGCGAAGATGTTACCTGGAAGGTATTGAATCTTTGATCTTATCTGTTTTATATTTGTTATTGTGTGGTATTCTGTTTAAACCGAAGTTTTCACATTTGACTGGTGCATATTCAATATTGTCAGAATTAAGAACTACAAGATCTAAAACTCTTAATAGAAACTGTCATTTATTTGTCCAGCCCAATTTATCGTATTGATAAAACATTTGCTGAAATGAAAAACTAAAGTACAGGTAGTTTTAAGTCATGTATTTCTTGTGAAGTCCTCTAAAAGAAGGAATTCAATAAACATTTTTCCATGAGCATTTTGGAGTCACAGGCGCTGTCAACAGTATTAGCCATTGCTGCCAATTCTTGTTATTGAGAGTAAGTTTTAAATCTTCATTCTTGTTTAGATCTTTGTTCCTATTTTATATTAAATATTTTGGTTGTTTGGAAAGGTTTGTTTTTTTCTTCGTAGAAATTGGCCTGCCAAGTGAAAAGATTTCTTTGGCTTGTAGGATATAAAAGATCTTGATCAGATTTCTCTCGACACGTAAAAATGCGTATGCATTTCACTCGTTGTGCCAAATGCACCTCAAATAGGATTTCCACTATGTCGCAAAAGTCACCTACAAGTTTTCCCTTGCAACTCTAAGAAAATTGTGTACGGGTCCTGCTTGTTAAGCCCCAAATGCTTCACCAACTTGGTTTTTGCAAGCTTATCTGTCACATCGCGAACATCACCAACGAGTTTTCACCTGCATGCTAAGATAAGTGTGTTTGGGGTTCTCACTTGCTGCGCCAAATGCATTGCCAATGAGGTTTTGTGGATTTTTAAGTTGTTGTATTTTTTATTTACGTGCACGAAACTGTTGGCGAAGTTGATGGCAACAAAGCCTGTTTCCAAGCAAATGCGACAATTTTTTTCTGGTATTTTTTAAGAGAGAAATGGGAGAGATTTTCTCTCTTTTAATAAGAGAAAAAGAGTGAGACGAGTGCTTTCTCTCTATTTATAGAGAGAGAGTTTGAGAGGGTTTTCTCTCAGCTTAGAGAAAGAAAGAGGGACTTCTCTCATTATTTAGTGAGAGAAAATTGGGGGGGGGGTAGCGAGAGATCAAATCACTCTTTTTGTTTAAAGAGAGAAAGAGATAGAGAGTGAGATATAGGGAGGTGGAGGTAGAGAAATAACTTTCTCTCTTTAGAGAAAGAGGGAGGAGAGAGAGAGATTGAGATGGGGTGAGAGGGAGAGGGAGTGGGTCGAATGGTTGAATGGCTAGGGCAGTCGGTGGTGCTAGAGACTACTATATATGGCGGTGGGTAGATGCAGGCAGGTGGTCGGCTGATGGGCTAAGGTTGGTCGACGCCTGTTTCTAGGCACTCAAGGGGCGTTGGCAACGACATATGTTGGGTGACCAAGGGGCAATCAACTTAGGTGGTTGAAGGAGGAAGAGGAGAGGGAGTTGCATAGGTAAATGTTAAAAAGAGAGGGAATGTGAGTATGAGAGTTAGGTTTTGGTATTTAACCTGATATTTAGTATTTTTTTAATAATTAAAAAAGGACAATTAGCCTTTTGCTGCAGCAAAAGGATAGGAGCACATGTACTAAATATTTAAAAAATTAATTTTATTTTATTTATTTACTTTAAATATTAAAGTATTAATTTCAAATAAAATTTAAAATAGAATTATAATAAATAATTTTAAATGCGCTTCAATTCACTCATTGAATTTTTGTCGCTTATGCTCGTCAAGTTTCGTCTTCATTTCGCACCTATGGACTTTTTGTTGTTTCTCCTGTACGGAATCCTGACAATATAGATGTTCTTTCTTAGTAATTTTGACGTTCTGGATGACGCCGTGAACAGAATTTTTGTCGCATTGCTAGATGTTCTTTTTTGATAATTTCGTTGTTTTGAACACGATGGCGTGTGGTTCGTTTCATGAATGGATGACTTGTGAGTGATTTAATGCCATGTCGCATTTTTAGTCTATTTTGCTTGGCGTTGATTCAATTGTCCGCAAACTTTGTCGTGCGTACTTGAATTAATTAGGGAATATATATGGAGGTCAACAGCTTTCTCCCATTCCTTTTAGCTATTTTTCTATTTCATTGCTCTTTTCTATGAATTCATCTGGGTTAATCTCTAGCAAGCTTTTCTTAATGGCTATTATTTCCATGACATCAATTTATTCTCTGTTTGTTTAATGGTTACTAATGAGATTCTTGTAATTTAAAACTTAGCAGTTGGATTTTCGTTAGGGCAGGTCATGCCATGGAATAAGATTTTTTTTTTTTTTTCATGCTCAACAAAGTTTTACTAGTTTTATGGTAATGGTATGGGTAGCTCTAGTGCACCAAATTTAACCAATCTACTTATTAAATGGTATGGTTGATCTTTCAAATGACTTTTAAGTTATGTTTAAAGATTATTTTCACATGCTATCCCTATTATAGATAAAGGAGTTTGTTGATCAGTAAAAATTTACCTGATGTTTATTTATTCATAGTTTATGTTATCAATATATTGCCATGATTTTAAGTGAATGGATTTTCAGGCAACAGTGCTGTAGAAGTGTGGATTTAAATTTAGTTATTGATTAGTCATTGGATTAAGACTAACAAAACAATTAAGCTCTGTAACAAACAAAAAGAAAGAAGAAAGTGGGATTTGAAATTGGAGTCATGATGCAGACATTCAATATCTTGAGTACATTTCATTAGTTATGATAACTTATAACATTTATTCATATATAATCTTGAAACCCCTAAAGGGTTCATATTTAACCTGTTAGATATCATTTTCCAATCTGAAAGTGCCAAATGAGTAAGTAGTAACAAGAGGTTTTACCTTGTATGATAAATGTGATAAAGAGGTATGGATGGATGGATGGGTGAATGGATAGTTTCCCGCAATTAAATTTCATATTATTTTATTCTTACTTATTTTTAGATCATGAAACAGCCATCTGGAAAATCTAGACGGTTGATCTTAATTTAATCATTTAATAACTTGAAGATGACCATGATGCAAAAATCTTAGGTAATTTGAAAGCAACTTAGCAATGACCAAGGATTCCTATGCATCTCCAGTTGATGCTCTAGACAGTAAGATAATGATTCATTAAGTAATAGTACTCACATTAAATGAATTTTTTTATTATATATTAAAATAACATTTGAAATAGTTCCAATTGGTATTATGAGCATAAAAATATGAATTTGTGTCGTACATATGAGTTAGGTTTGGACCCATTTGGCAAGAATAGAAGGACAGAGGGTCTAGATCGGGAAATTGAGCTAAAAGGATACAATCAGCTTGGGTTACTTGATTAGTTCAACCACTCTGTAGCTTGGCATGGCATAATCCTATCAGGCACCCGGTGAATGGTTTGTACTAATAGCTGGTTGGGGCCTTACTCACCTAATTATATTGGTTTCAAAGGTTTAATAAGTTCAAATGAAGAATGGGACTTGAAACAATTAAAGCTAATGGCATGGCTTAACATGTGGGTGGGACCACCCTCAAAATGGTTTAAGATTTCTTTAAAATTCAAAGTGCATGCACTATTCATGCACACAAGGGCATTGTTGTTGAAGGAAGAAATGCCCTTGATATTGGCTACATGATTCGTTTTAGTAAAATATTGTGGTGATGGCTCATTTGCATATATTTGTAAAATCTAATTGCCGATATCTCCACAAGAAAGCATAATTTTTCTCTCTATCCATTCAACATGTGTGGATCAACATGAAAGTGGTCGAAGATTTCTTCAAAATTTAAAATGCATGCACTATACATGCACGTAAGGGCACTGTTTTTTTTTTTAATTCACTGAACTGACCTGGAGCCGGGCAGGGCTCCCTGCTGCTCTCCGTCCTCGACGACTGTGGGCTTCGTTCCTACACGAGGGAGCAACTGCTGGTCGCCTAACTAACTGGGAACTGCAGGCTGCTGGGGTGTCGTCCCCCTCTGCAAACTGTAAAAGTCTCCTCGCAGTCTGTCGCGATAACTGGAACGAACCCGAGAAATCTGACGGAGTAAGCCCCTCGACGACGGGCCCTTTGCACGAGCTAAGCGGACGCATGTTCCCGAATCCCTGAGTGAGGGCCGGACACCACACGTCCCTGGGTAACCTAGCTCGGTTATATAGTGGCGCCGAGGAGTGCGCTATTAACGCGAACATTTTTCCTCATCTCCACATTGCGTCAGTGGGAGAAAGCGTCCTCCCTGAAACTCCTCCAATACCGGGGGCTACCATCACCCTTCTGGACAGGGCCAATAACAACCGGACGTGGCCTCCGCTGCCTGGGAAAGCCACTCTCCCTCTGAACAACGTCTTGGTGACTATCGCCTCAACCATCTGCTGCTCTCTCTGCCCTCGACGTAACCTCCTATCCTATTCCTCCGGGCCCTTCTCCCAGCCCGGAGTGAGAAGGGACATCTAAACCCACTGCCGTGGGTCGGCAGGGGACAGAGACGACTGAAGTGCCGAGCTCTGCCGGCACGTCTAAGGGTGAGAAAAGCCGAGCAAACACAGAAAACCCGGTCGAGAGCGCCGAAGAAACCTGGTCTGGGACCCCTCTTCCATAGGAACGGGAGGGAAAACCTGAGATGCGATGGTACTTCCGCCGGAACAAAAGGAGTATACAACATCATCAAGCGCCAGCGCCCTGGATGCGCCGGGGCAACCTGAGCAACAGGAAGCGGCAGGCGCATGTCGCCTGACCGCCACACGAACAGGTGGAACAAACTGTGCAGCAGGCATGCGCACTGAGGGGCCGGGGCAAAACCTGAGCAGCAGGAGCGGCAGGCACTGGACGCTCTAACCGCAGGTACGTAACTGGAACCGGATTGGCCTAGGCACTGGTCGCCAGGCCACAGAGCGCCAGTGGCTGCGACAAGTAACCAGGAACCGCGACCAGCTGCGGCAGACAGCACCGGGCCACTGCGTGTCCCGTTCCTGTACTTGCGTAGCCAGTGCGCTGTGGCTAGCGACCAGTGCCTAGGCCACATCGTTCCAATTCGTCCTGCGCGTAGG